GGCCAAAGCCAAGTTGTAGCCCACTATTGTAAGCCCAAAAATGTTCATAGTACTGACAGCTTTTGATTTTAGCCCTGTGATAGACTGGTGACCTGTCCAGGTGTCCCCTGCCTTCACCCTGAGTCAGCTGGGATAGACTCTAGCCCCCCATGACCCTAGTGAGGATTAAACGGTGTATAGATGATGGATGGATGGATGGACATTGCACAACAAGGCTTTTTTGAAAAAAATCATTTATGCGTGATACCTAGGACTGAAGGAATATCTAATGTGTTGTAATTTTTCTGGCTGGCAATGCGATCTGATCTGGGGTTTAATCTTTTAAAGTCAAACTTCCGTTCAATATTAATTAATTGTAAACCCTGGTTTAGACATGCTGCGTACTGTACGTGGTTGTGTATCCTAATTCCTGTCTTTGTGTTTACTTAACTGTATTTTTTTTAAACTAGTTGTTTTTTCAGATCTGGTCGTTTTGTACCAAATTGACGCCTGCTATTTTTTAAATAAGATTATTATTACTGATGCATTAAGATACAAGCAGCATCCTGCACATGCTGTTTGTTCCTTAAACCTACAGTAGTGCATCGTTTTTACTGAACTGATCATGTAGCTTTAGTCTGCACAGCAAGATTTATTTCATGAGAGAAATCAAATATTTCCATCTATGGAAGTGCAAAGTAACAATAAAGGGAAATATTAAGCAGCAGAGAAGTGTTTCGGTACAGTAAATGTACACGATAATATTTTGGGATACAACAGAACAGCTTTGTTGTCAGTGTCAACATTATGGGTCACGTTGCAAAGTGACGGAGCAAGTACAGGAGAAACTGTAATGACACATGCAAAAGAAAAGACACAAAATCACCTTCAACAACACTGAGTAAATGCCAGATATTCTCTATGCCTACCACAGGAGCACCTGGACATGAGCACATCTCAGAACTTTCTTGTTGACCGTTAACTTATATAATATATAATATAATAACTAACCTTAAAAAACAAATCCGACTGACTGAATGATTATTATTGTTGTATATAATATATGTTATATTGATTTAAAAAAAAAATAATAATAAGAAAAAAGTGAGCTTTTACAAGATTGAATTTCTCTTCTGGGATAAATAAAGTATTTTTCATTTCATTTCAACTTGTTAGGTTTTACTTTTATTTTTTATTTTTTGACAGTTGTGCCATTTAGTTTGATTTCCTCAATCTGAGTAACAGGGTGAGGCTTGTGTTAGGCTGTGCGTTGGGAGCTTCCCTTTTCTGGACGCTTCACAAAATGACTATTTAGTTTGTTTTACTGACTTAATGTCTGACATCGCCCGTGTAACATATTCCACCCAGCTTGAGGAGACATGACAGATTTGTCGCCGCCCTGCGCCCCGTGTGACGCTACCTCATGTGTGGACGTCGCGGGCAGATGGCGAGCCGCCTCACGTCTGCTCTGGAAGCTGCTCTCTCCTGTTGGCACGTCGCTTGTTGCTGTTCAGGGAGTTGTGTCACAGTGTGGGACGGCTCGGAGGGTGTAATTCATGCCTCAGTCTCAGAAAAAAATATGTGTAAATTTAAAAGCCACAGCTCCGGGATGAGCTGTTGCATCTCCAGTTAATTATTTGTTGATTGAAATGATGCTCCAACCAGCTGTAGCATGAGCATTACTGTTTATTTCCACTTCAATTTTGATCAGTTGAGTTCCTCTTTAAGTATTGATTGCAGTGAGAAGTACGACTGTGACATTGTGTCCACGAGGAAAAGACTTTCTAAGCTATATTACCTGCACAATAAGGAACATATGACTCTAGTTTTTAAGCCTTTAACACTCACCAGCATCTTTTTTAACTCCCAAAAAAAGTCCAAAACATTGAAAACATTTTGTTTTGTAGATTCTTCAGGGTTCTCTCCGGGTTCTCCAGCTTCCTCCCACAAGGTCCAAAAACATGTTGAGGTTAATTGGTGATTCTAAATTGTCCGTAGGTGTGAATGTGAGTGGTTGTCTGTCTCTAAGTGTAGCCCTGTGATAGACTGGTTACCTGTCCAGGTGAACCTGCCTTCACCCTGAGTCAGCTGGGATAGACTCCAGCCCCCCATGACCCCGGTGAGGATTAAGCGGAGTATAGATAATGGATGGATGGAGATTCTTCAGGTGAAAAAAGTGTGCAGCACATAATAATGACAGATCCAAAACCAAACATAATATTGTGTTTTTAAATGATGAATTATTATTGGGGCACAGCGGCAACATTTTTTTCCTCGTTCTGCATTAGTTGAGTGCTGCTGAGTGTTAAGTGGTTCTATTGGTGTTGCTTTTCAAAAAGCGGTGGTGAATTTGTGACGACAAGTGTTGTGAGACACCCCTCAACTCATGGTTCTGCTAAATCGTTTACGTACCAGGAAGTGGGTGAGGTTAACCACACATTAATGCTGCACTGGCTCATAATGTTTCCACTGTTACTTCTCGACAAATGTCACACATAGACGTTCGGCACACCTTTTTCTTCTGTTTTAACTCGGAGGATTTTAACACGTCCAAGCAGAAACAATCGCACAATAGCACTCGATCGCTGGGAGACAAAGAGACACAGATGCCTTCTGTTAAATTACCACCTGAACCCATAATGGTGTTTGGTTCTGATCATTCAGGAAGTGGTACCTTCACGACCACAGCACAAACGTCTTCCTGGCAATGAGCAGATTCTGTAAACTAGTTGTCAGGCCACAAATGGCTTTTACATTTACCAATACACTCTGAGCTTTGCCTCGGTATTCATGCAGCGCTCGCACACATTCAGTATGTTCACGCACAGATTCTTACCTTTCCTAATATTCGTTATACTTTTCCCCAAATCATTTACAGATAGAGAAAGGTGGTATTGGACATTAATAGCATTTTAACAGTTCATCCAGAGATGGTGCATAGAGTCAATAAGGGACACACTAATATATAACTGAAGAAAGAGAAGGGGCTGTACGAGATAACAACAAGGCTGTTCACCTGTGTGGAGACGGATAGGTGGCTTCAGCAAAGATTTCAAAGAACAAGTATTGTGTCAAATTATCCATAAACTTCGTGTAGGGTCGTGATGAAACAACAGCTAGCTGGTGATGGTGCTCACGCTGATCCTTCACCGCTGCTCAGATCAGTCTGGTGTCGCTTGTTTGTAGGAATAAAGAAATAAAAAAAAAAAAAACATCAGACTTTGTGATGTAGAGATGTAGAAGTTTCTAGCAGGAACATTTGTGGCATCAGAGTGAAATGTGTCGGGTGGCTTTAAAGAGCATCGCAACAGTTACTGATAATGTCGACAACTGATCTTCATTCCTAAGTCAGACATTTTTATTGCCTTTCAGAACCGGAAGCATGGAGTTTATGGGTCATGTGTCTGTCTTGTGAACCCAATATCTTGGGAGTTGAGGGAGTTTCTTTAAGCTTGGACAAACATTCACCTCAACTAGAGGTTGAAGTGATTAGATTTTAGTGGCCGAGAGTCAGAGGTGAAGGTTGCTCATTGATCACTTTTGTATCCGTGACTCAAGAACTCAGGTATCAACAAAACTTCACACAAAATGAACTGATGATGTTTTTGAGGTCAACTTCACAGTGACATCGTATCCTTTGTGGCCATCATTTAACACCAAACATTGTTTACTTTTCTCTGGGAAGGTGGTGTACAAATTCTTCAGATTTTGGCTTCCTACATTTCTACCTGTTAAATTAATGTTTAAGTGTCTGCAAAGCTTGCATGTAGCGTTATACCTGTTAACCTTAGCTTGTCATTCTTACTTTAGCAAACTCACTAATTCATTGTTTTTGTCTTGTCTGCAGAGTTTTAAGGATGAGAAACATCAGGGCAAAAACTTTCCTGATGGTCGGAGCTCTCGGTCTGCTGGTCCTTCATCTCTGTAAAGATTTTATTGACCACAAAACCATACGCCTCCATGTAGATGTGAGAGAGAACAACAACCAAATAAGGAAGCCCACCAAAAACAACTCTTACGTATTCTTCTGGCCGAAATGTCAACAAAACATTTCTGCTGCCAACATCTCAGGCTTCAGCTCCCTTCCTATTCCTATCAAAGACTTTCTCTACTACCGACACTGCCGCCATTTCCCCATGCTGCTGGACCTTCCAGACAAATGTGGAGGAGCTGACAAATCTGCAGACGTCTTTCTTCTGCTGGTCATTAAAAGCTCCCCAGGGAACTACGACCGCCGAGAGGTGCTACGCAAAACCTGGGCGAAAGAGAGGTTACACAACGGGGTGTGGATTCGAAGGATCTTCGTCTCGGGAACGTCGGGTTCTGGTTTTGAGAAGGAAAGGCTGAACAAAATCCTGGAGCTGGAGCAGCAGGAGTACCATGACATCCTTCAATGGGACTTCAGTGACACATTTTACAACCTCACCTTGAAGCAGATCCTCTTCCTGGAATGGATGGAAAGAAACTGTCCAAATGCTCGCTTCCTGCTGAATGGCGACGATGACGTCTTTGCCAACACAGACAACATGGTTGTGTATCTCCAAAGCCTCAAGGACAATGATGGAAGCAAACACCTCTTCACTGGGCACCTGATCCAGAATGTGGGGCCCATTAGATCATCAGGGAGTAAGTATTACATCCCAGTACAAGTGCAGGAATCAAACTCCTACCCCTCTTACTGTGGTGGCGGGGGCTTCCTCCTGTCTGGTTATACAGCTCTGGTCATATACAACATGTCCCTGTCCATCACCATCCTTCCTATTGATGATGTTTACATGGGGATGTGTCTGGCCAAAGCAGGACTTAGTCCTTCCTCCCACATGGGTGTGAAGACAGCAGGACTGTACATTCCCTCCAGCACATTAGACGGATACGATCCTTGTTATTATAAAGACGTCTTACTGGTACACAGATTTCTTCCACATCAGATGTATCTGATGTGGCACAGAATACACGATCCTACTCTGAAGTGTTCTCCCTCCACAAAACGGCATTAGTAGTGCCAAACCGGTGGTAACAGAGCTTGCTGACAATTTGCGTCTTGCACGAGCTCAAATGGACTTTGGAGTGATGGGGCCTTTTCTCTAGATACTGTATGGATGAGCAGCTTTAGCTGGAAGGAAGGAACTGCCATACACATTTACCTCTTCCATGTGTTGTCTGATTAAAAGCAGGGTTTCAGACCTTGCTTTGTGTCAGGCTGCATTGTCAGCAACATCTGAGCAGACAGACACAAAGCACTGTATGAACTTCCACATTTGTTGTTTTATATCTGATGTTACGACTACTTACCCATCCAGCAGATATCAGACGTCACATCTCTCTCCCCGAACGAATGTAAGTTCAATATTTATGTGCCTTCTGCTTAAAAAAAAAAATCTCCTCATCTTTGGCTCGCCGCATGTGTCTTCAGCAGCTTGTCTGATGTTGCTGTGTAAGCACGATACAGTCGAGATGGGCGACTGTACGAGCATTTCAGTAACAATATCCATTAATAGAGCTGTATAGGTGTGTTGGTGAGGCCAAACTGTGTACAAATATAAGTAATGCTTAACAACAGCAAGGCCTGGGATCTTTAAACGAAAACTTCTGCCAAAGTCACTTCAGCACAGTTAGAGAATCGTTAGATTTTTCTACATTAAAAGCAATACTGTGTATGCGGGGTGACAAAGCTTTTCTTAAGCTCAAGCTGCAAGAGCATACATGTGAGGAACTGATTAAACAGTGTGTTTTGTCTGCTGTAATGTGAGCTCCAATCATCAGGTGTGAGTGTTTCCTCACTATGTACAATCTGGTCCTTCTGTACTGTACTGTTTCAGAAAGTACCAACAATTCCAAATGGCAATTTTGCCTCCGTTGTCAACGCGAAATAAATTTGTGTCATGTGAGAGGAAAAAGCAAATGTAGGAAGAGTTACTCTTTATCTTTCTGTATGTAAATAAATGTGTCTTACTGATGGGGGTTCAGTGGTTCTCCCTTGAACAGCTTTTTTTTTTTTTTTAAAGTCAAACTAGAAGTTTAATAGATGATGTCTATATTTATTGACTATTTTCTACAGTATGAAACACTCAGACTTAGCCTTATCTTGCATTTACAGTCGTGACTCGATAATCTGACCCTTAACAATCCTAAACCTGCTATCCGACAGGTTTTTAGGAAAAACGAACGGAACCCATTAAAAACAGCCTTAACATACCGACAGCCTTGGATTCAGACTCCAACATGACATTTTATGTCACAAACAAGGATAACAGCGTATTATCTGACTGAACAATCCCACAGATTGGCTACGTTCAGACTGCAGGACTTGATGCTCAATTTGGATTTTTTTTGTGAAATATGATTTTTTTGTGAGTTCGTTCACATTTCCAACTAAATGCGACTTGTATGTGATCTGCTGTGTGAACTTCATACAACCCAAAAGTGTCCCACATGCACAGAAGAGGACACGGATGGTAGCGATGGAGCGTATCTGCCACTCTCCCTCCGCCGCCGCAGAACTGTGACCACTAACTAAACTGGCATCAGCAGCCAAGTTCTGCCAAGTGTGTGTTCCGGTCGGATAAGTGGGACCTGACCATTCAGACAGAAGTCGCATAGCAAAAGATCAGATACCTGTCAGATTTAGGACCACTTACCTTTGATGTCAACCGATGGGCCCGTGCAAAGGTGTGACATCCAGCGATGCGTAGTGTTCTAACAATAGTTATTATAACAGCTATAAACAATGAATATTAACAACAGATTACCCATAATGCATCAAGCCCTCCTTGTATCTCGACCTCCGTCTTGACAATCCGACAGCCTTGCTATCCGACATAAAAGAAGGTTTTACATTTAGTGTCGGGTTATCGAGTCACGACTGTTCATCTGCTACGATAGTTAACATCTGAGTTTTGACACTGAGGATTGCAGTGCGTCATTAGAGTCCACATACTGATTCATGTAAACTGTCCCACCCACCCTGAGCATGCAGACAGGCCCTAATCAGTCTATCTGTGCAGCGCTGTGGACCACTGTGGGTGTGGAGGACCTCTAACTGATTTATCGTCTGTAGACACATAGTCCAGTCACAGCTGTGGTAGAAAGTGGCTGCTGGTGCAGTTTTTTTGTTGAGTGTCATCTGTGGGTGGACGTTTCCTGTAATATTGCTTGATTGATTATGGGAAAGTGCTTTTTGTGAACAATGTATTTACTGTATTTATCAGTTTTGTGATAGGATTGTAATTAGAGATAATCTACAATATGTTCTGACTACCAGCTGAGTCGTGTTCACAATACTTCAATTCCTGTCAGCTAACAAAAGCTGGTTCCAAATACTTCTTGGTCACGTTTTGCTTATTGTTTGAGCAGATATCTTTAATCACACTTCTGATATGTTTTATAGTGTATTTATGCAAACATCTGTGCTTTGTATTGATTCCTCCTGAACAACACACAGCTGTCAGTGTGACTGAAGCCAGGCTTTAAGGTGAACTGTGGCGTCCACAGGCTCACAACAACGACTCCTCAGGGTTTCTTAAGAATATAAAGGTCATGCTATTTAATTTTCTACTGAAGCTCTTTGGTTTTGTTCTGTTTTTTTTCTTTCTTTTTTCTAATATTTACAGAAGGGGATGAACGTGTTTGTACCTTGTAGCGTCAAATGCTCAGATTTAAAGAACATCCCAGTTATCATGAGTGGTTCATAGTAAATGATCAAATGTAAGATTATTGTAGGCTTTCAGAAAGGTTGGTTTCCATGTTGTGTGTGTGTGTGTGTGTGTGTGTGTGTGTGTGTGTGTTTGCATAGTTTAATGAATACCTACACAAATGTCCCAATTTGATTTTGATGCTGCTATATATATATATTGTGGAATGTTACAACTTAAAAGGTTTGAAATTAAACTTTTTGCTAAACATACACGTGTATTGTGACTCACGTTTCCTGACTTTTTGGGGGCTCACCTGATGGGAGATGTATTGAAGGTTTATAGGAGACACCGTTAATTTTTTCACACACATCTACAAATGAACCAGAGTCCAATAGATCTGATCTGTGTCTTCTTGCACACGGTAGACATTCTATATCTGTATTACACGTGTAGACGATAACACCATATGCATTCCAACACCCGTCGGTTAGATTTTGCAAGTGACCTCAAATGAAAGAAAAGGAATGAGCAGCACAGGTTTCTGCTTTGATGTGATACTTCTAGCATGTATGAACCTCCTTCTGCTTGACAGCAACTCTTAAGTTTGTCAAGGTACAGTCGTGACTCGATAATCTGAACCCTAACAATCCTAAACCCTTGCTATCCGACAGGTTTTCAGGAAAAACGAACGCAACCCATGAAAAACAGCCTTAACATACTGACAGCCTTGGATTCCGACACAACATTTAATGTCACAAACAAGGATAACGGCATATTATCTGACTGCTGCTGGCACTGAGTATGATTCATTAATTGGGTCCAAATATCTGGAGCCCAGAAAGTGCTGTTCGGACCAGCCCTACGAGTTATTATAACAACTATGAACAATAAATCAACAATTTCCCTGAGGTACCCTACCAAAGGGATCAATAAAGTTCTATCTAGTCTAATCTAATCTCTAAATAAATGAGCCTTCCAGCATCAAGCCCTCCTTGCATCTCACATTTAGTGTCGGGTTATCGAGTCACGACTGTACATGAAAACACTTCCTAGATCACAGCCATTGTGACCAAGTTGCCTGCTGAGATTCTCAACCACAGTGAAACACATGCATAGCAACAGAACCTGAAAACACGATGGTCGTCTTAATAATCCATCCATAAAGTCACTGCACAGAAGCGAGCTCATTGCTGTACTGGAAGGGATCCTTTAAGACACTGGACATGCTTGAACCAACTGGATTCTCTTCTGCTGTCTTGCCTCGTATGTAAAAATCAAAATGACATATCTAAGTCGATCATCTCCAAGACCCAAGCTAATCCTTCTTCCTAATTTGTTCCAATGTACTTTGTGTAGAGAACCAGTTCCAAAGACCCAGAGCATAATACTGCCGCCGCCATGCTTGAAATTTGATTAACACAACTTTGTACGTCACCAAAACTGATCATTAAAGTTGTTGTTTGTATATTTCTGACCCGGCAGATTTTACAGAATTTCAGGAAGAAATAAAATAAATCTATGAAAGAACCAAAATGCGCGATTGTTGTTTTATTTTTTGCTGACAAAGATGCATGTGTGTCAATGATCCCATCGTAGGAAACACAGAAATGTAGGAGTCATCGGAAACTGAAGACTTCCATGAAGCAAGTATACGGAAGGTTCATGGAAAGTTTTGTTCAGTCAGCTGTTTTTCTTCCTCTCTTAAATGTATGAAAGAAGCTATATAATTAATATGTGTTTGAGTCTGAAGCTGGAAAGCGCGCCATATTTTCAGAAGTGCTATTTTTACTGTGGTTAACTGAGATTTGTTGCAGCGATGATCACATTGTGTTTATTTAAGGGTCCATTATTTGTACTGTTGCGCATAAGACGAAGCTAAACAAAGTGCCATCTTAGTTTTTGTAATGTGAGAACACTCCAGTGCATAATAACAGACAGCTGAACACAGCAGAGGTAAGCTGATATCTTTCAAAGGAAATGTCTTGTTTGAATCGGTCAAAAGACTTTTTTTCTAACATGAGTCAAGCATCTGAAAGTGAAAAACGAACCACAGGTTAAATCCTAATTAAACTCTGTCTTTATTAATCACCACAGTCCTAAAATTTGAATAATTATTCTCCCCAGATTTGAGTTCAGTTGGCCATCGAAGGCTCAGTTTTTAAGACTGAGAACGCCAGTGTTTTAGTGTGAACCTTGATATTGTCGACAGGCCCACGGCTAAATATCACCGAGTGGAACCGTCTCTGCAGTGAGTAACACCTCAGTGCTGAATAGCTGCTCGCCGCCGCTCGATGAGCCCACGTCGTTCCACGTCCTCGGCGACAGATCGGCGGCAGCTCTGCTCTGCGGTTGTTTCTGAAACTAACGCTGATTAACTGACTTATCTATGTACTGCAATGCAAATATACTTATATAGAGACTCCTGGCTGACTATCTTCAATCTAAACAGCTGCTGATATTATCTGTAAGCATTCTCAAGCTGTTGTCTGTTTCTGCAGCGCCTTTCTTTATCTTTACATGCTATGTTTTTTATCACGTGGATGCTCAGTTCGATTTGCTGTGGCTGTAGACGAACCCTAAGCACCACGCTGCACCAACCTGCCTCAAGCAACGTGCCTCTTGTTCGCCTTTAAGTGTTTACCTGTGTTTCAGTAAAATGAATAAAATGTCCTGCATTGTGTGGCCACTGACAAAAGAAGAACATAATTGGAATTTTCTTATCCCAAGTATCTTGTTTCTATTTGTAAGGTTGTTGGTTCGATCCCCTCCACAGTTGAAGTGTCTTTGGGCAAGACACTGAAC